GAAGTACCCACATGGCAGAACACCCAGCTCGTGATGGGCAGTTCACGCCGCGAGCGTAAGACCCCGATCTGGGTCATACGTCTGACATGCGGGCTCCACTCTGCATAATCGACGTATTTCGAAGTGTGTCGAACCATCAAAGGGGTCGAAAGGATATCTGCGCTCGAGCACAAAACTTTATCAAAATATTCGTTACGAAAATAACAGTCGAGCATACGCCTAGATACGAGCAGATTATTGCAAAATAAACATGCATAAAAAAAAACATGCATGAAACAGATTAATGGTGAACCGACCAAGAAGGCCGACGATGTTCAAAGTTACAACCCATGGCACGACGGCCAAAAGAAATCAAGAATGGACATGGGCACGCAGGCCCCAAAACAAGTAAAATCAAATTACGGGCGCGCAGACCCAAACAAAGACTAGGTGTTAAACATCCCCGGGATTGTTGGCGTCCACATCAGGAGAATCGGGAGAAGGCACGACCTGGCCGTCAATTATCTGAGACAAAAATCCGACTCCCTCGGTGTTCAACCCCGGATTCAGCACGGACAACTGACTCACCACGGTCTCGAACTCGTCGGCCAAGGTACCAACGCAATCCGACTCGAGGAAGTGGATGCGAGCAGCCAAATCTGAGCGTGTACGCAAAGAGGCTATCTCCTCTGGCTCGTCATCAGCAGGAAGCATAGCAGCTTTTAGCTCCTCAATCTCCCTGGACAACTGCTGGTTATCACTCTCCAGCCGTTCCTTGTCGAGCTGGAGGCAATCCCTCTCCTCAAAGGCCTTCTCGACTCTCTCCTTCTCCCCCGATAGTAGGTCGTCCTGCTCACGAAACATCTCCTCGGACCGCTCGAGGGCCGCCTTCAACTTACGAGATTTGGCAGCGAAAGCAGCCTTCTCCGATTCTAACTCCCTAACACGGTCCGTGGAATCTGATCCTTCCCCTGCAAGGACCACAACCATCTCGGCCATCTTCACCACACCGACCATGCTAGCAGCGAGGTGTTTCCTCCGGCCTTCTTTGTTGAGTCGTTTAATGATGTCGGCCTCGTTATCAGACACTGTCAGAGGAAACCCCTTGAAGAAATCCTTTTCTACAAAGCAAGGCGGTAAGCCAAAAGCTCGGGCAGCTACGGGCTCATCACCAGTTTTCGCTCTGCTCTCTGTCTGACCCCTCTTCCTTTCAACCATCTCGGTCTGTTGCTCGGCATCGAGAGAACCCGAGGACCCACTGGACGCGTCTCTGCCCGAATCAGCGGGCGGGCCCATCCGCGTGGCCTGCTGTGGTCTCACCAGCCTCTTGCTTATCTTTTTATCCTGGGTCAACTTCAGCAACCTCTCTCGACGTTCCACCATGTGACCTGCAAGAAGAGCGAACCCGGGTTAGCTACAAGCGATTAAAGGCAATTGAAATGGAATAACAATAAGAGAAAAAGCAAGAAACATAGTAGATCTATGGCCTTCCCATAGAATTGGCATTCAACGAGAGCCTTGGTATTGATAGGGCGCGCCTCGAACATCGGGTAGCCATCCTCATCGAGAATGTCGTCCCCTTCCCTCGTGACCCACCGAGCGGGGAAAAAGCCATCAACAAACTTGCAAAGGACAGCATAGGCCTCCTCATCCTCGACATTCATACTCCCCGCAGGGGTATGATAATGTCCAGTACCATGCTCATAATGACCCGAGCACCAATGAATAGAGAACCTAGAAATCCGCCCAACTGCGGGACTACCCTCAGCATCCAAAAGGGGCTCCCCGTCCCCGTCGACCACCACAGTTTCTGGCTCGAATAGAGAATCCAGGGCTGTTTGGGTGGCCGGCTGCAATACGTACCATTTGTCTTTGAAATCCCTCATCGAGTCCATGTACATCCTAAACAGTCTCTTCGACTGCTTAAGGGATACCCAACTATGTTTGCCTCCTAGAGACTGACGTTGCAGATGAAAAACCCTGAAGAACAGGGGAATCGTCGCCCCAATTTTGAAGAAACGGCAGGTTAGCTCGAACGCCCGGAGGAAGGCGATCGCGTTGGGGTGAAGCTGCGAAGGGGCCAAGTTCAGATGATTGAACACCCCGACCTGGAAGTCACTAAAAGGCAGCCTAAGACCAAGATCCCTGAATACAATCTCATACATAGGGAACGCATATTCAGTGAACTCCGAGCATATGCGAGCATCACTCGTCGGCCTCATTATTTTAAAATTCCTTTGAAATCCCTCCTGAGTACCGCCGTGCTCGACGACGGTATAAGCTCGCCTGCTGCAATGGTTGTACGCTGAAGCAATTCCCCGGGGCTCAGCACCCACCCAGTCCAGTGTGGGGTCGTCGACGGTGTCGACCAGGGTGACGTTCTCTTCTGTTGTACTTGCTTCCTCGACGTCATTACGTCTCGAGGACTCCGGGTTACCGGGCATTTACCTGCAAGTACAGGAAACCGGTGAATTCGACAGCAAATCTGCGTGATCGCCACAAAGACGGGGAGAAGTACGCGATGCTCAGATCGAAACTAAAGCCAAATACCGACACCCCAGCGCCAACCACGCATCAATCATGGATGGCACGAGCATAACATGAGCGCCCCAGGCGAAACTTGAATCACACGACCAAGTTCATAATTTCGCTTACTCAATGCAGAACACTACGAAGAGACTACCCTACATACCACCTAAAGGATGAATGTCCCGGTCAATCTCATGACTCTACCGACCAAACACATGAGTATCACGGGCAATATCATGAATCATAGGCCTAAAACTATGAGTGTCTCGAGCACAGCCATGAATCAGGCACCTAGCGCGCTTGAATCTATCAGGCATAACTTCCAAATACAGGTTTTTAGTATAAAAAATGTCATCAAAGCTATCTACAACACATGGAAGCAGGAAGAATGGATACTTACTTGGAAGAAGAGGAGTGGAAACAACGGTGGTGGGAGTAATCAACGACGAACGATGTGGCGGTCTCAACGACGTTACGGGAACCAACGACTGTAAAAACAGAGAAAGCAGGAGGAGCGTGAAGAGGAGAAACAGACTATGGGCCCAAGGATCCTATTTATAGAGATGACGTGGAATGTGAAACGTCGCACCGGGGAGCCATGAACTTCCCCCGTCCTCGACACCTACCCACCTAGGCAATAATGACCCTATTTACTAGGGCGGCGTTACAATTCCCAAGGACTACGCCACGTGTCCGACAGACGCAGCTCACACATCCCCGCGAGCGTTCCTCGAGCACCCCTCGAAAGGCAAAGCCCCGAGTCGGGCATGAGGTCCCCGTGAAAAGAGCAAACTGAGATCAAGTCATAACTCATGTGCCAGGAACAACGACTTGGGGGGCTCCTGTTCTGGACTGGGTCTACCTTAGCCTAAAACACCAGTAAAGGCCTAGATCCAAGCAGTTCCTCGAGCCGTGCTCGGAATCAGACCACCCAAGCATGCCCAGTCACAGACCACAACGGTTATGCCTGCCGTTATCTGTAACGAGCATCGTCCCCGACCAATGGCACTCCAACTCGAGTCTTGCTCGAGCATCCTCCCCGTAGGGCATACTCTGTCCCCTCCGAATACGGCGGAATCCGTAAAGCTCCGGGAAGACCGCGTCTTCGTTCTTCCTCATTCTTCGCAGAGCACCATCCAGGAAGGGGACCACGTGCGGGTCCCCACTACACACGTAGAACCTGGCAGTCCCTTTGTTGGGCCAGTTCTGGTCGGCCTAATAAAGGGACCTTGGCCCAGCGCTGAGGGCTATAAATACCCTCTACTTCAAGAGGGTCAAGTATTCATTCATTACGCACCTACTTACTTTTTGCCTGCCTATTCCGTCTCTCATTTTATCATCAGAGTGTCTTGCAGGTACCCCCCCTCATCTCATTCAAATCCAGTTCGAGTCAGCTATGACGGTCCAATTCTGATCCAGTAAGATCACCTTTCAACGAAGATGTATATTGAAAATGTTATAACACACCCACTCATTTTTATGAAGATGTATATTAGCATAATACACCTTTTCAATAATTCTTTTATCTCTTAATTATGATTTATTTAATTTCTTTTTTAATTATTTTCATACCTAAAACTCATTTTCTCTCTTTATTTTTTACTTAATTAATTTATGTTGTTGAACTATCAATTTAGTACGTGTAAAAAAAACTATCAATTTAGTGCGTGTAAAAAAATACTATCAATTTAGTGCGTGTAAAAAAATACTATCAATTTGGTGCATAGAAAACAAAAATCCTTTAACGTTGGTAAGAACAAAACTATCAATTTTTAACTTCTTTTTTTAATTGCAATTCAAAAGATTTTTTTTCTTTCAATTTTTTACAAAAACAACTTATAAATTTTTTTAAACAAAAATAATCTCTTTATTTTTAAGTAATCAATCCATTTTTATTTATTTTTAAATAAAAAACAAATTCTTTTGTAGTGTATTTCGAGAACATGTAACATAATTATGAAATTGTTTTTGTCAACAAAAAAAAAACGATGGTTAAAATACAAAAGGATATGTTCGTTCATTATAAAATTGTTTTTTGTTAAAAAAAATAATGGTTAAAATACACTACAAATTAAGTTAATACACTACAGATGAAGCTATTACATGTTCTTCAAATACACTGCAAAATAACTTCCTTTGAGTTGTATTTCAAGAAAAAAAATTAATAAAAGTCTTTTTATTATAAGTGTTGGTGTTAATTACTACTGATACTATTGCACTATATATGATCGAGTTAAATTACCATGGAAATCAAGTAGTTGAGAAGAAGATACAATGACACTCAGGATATAGATCCCACTCCCATTTGCAAATGAAAGTATTGTAGTTAAAATGGGTGATAGTATTTACCACCTCATGCTGCAAATTTTGCAATCCACCAATCCCAAAATCCATTTTCATACAAATAATCTGTTAATAGCTCCAGTTCTTTCATACAAAATGTACCCCTTTCTGAATTTCAAGCCATTACAGTACAAACAACACTGTTATTGTTATTGTCTTGTCAATATGGCTACTGATTCCCACTCTAAACTGCATATCACATCCTGTATGTAAAGTTGGAAACAATAACATCATTAGAAAGGAGTTCTCTATCTTCATCGTTTTACCACTTTTCGCTCCTTATCGTTTTCATTTTGGTTTATCATTCTTTTATTGATAGTAATTGATTGAAAGACAGACCATTTTAGCAAGTTTTTTTGTTGAAAAAAATAATGAACTACTAAAAAGAAAACAGCACCGAATTAGTATGTAACAGTATAAAACAATATAAGCTGCCCCCACTTACCAATGGATTATGTCGATCAATATCAAAGCTATTGATGGCACAAGGTTCTGCCAGCAGTTCAATAGGTTCCTCGCCTAAGCAATTTAAAAACACGGCATCAGATTAACCAAATATATTCCTGAATGAATTCTCATTTTCAACATGTTGCAAATTGCAATGAACAATTGGACATATATTAATATACCTTGCTCAATCACGCCAAGAATTCCATCCTCAGAGCATATCATGGCAGGTAAAATCCGGGTTGATGAAGTGTTTGATTTTATGCAACGATCATATTGAATCTCCCAAACCTCACTTTCAGATATTGACTGGACTGCAGTGTTGCCAGCCCCATTCCCTGCTCCTGCTCCTGAGAGTATAATTGGTTGTTGTTGCCACCTAAGATCCCAAGCCAAAACAGTACCTAAGGAGCCACCAGCCTGAGAGGAAAAATCATAATTTCAGAATCGGCAAAAACTATAAAAGTGCTAAACAAAGAGTCACCCAACTTTTTAAATCATTAATCTAATGAATTCTTATCAAAGAATTGAAGAAATGAAGAATCGTTCAAATTCAACCGGTACTTATTGCAAAACACTTTTTATTACCGAAATGTTAAAACTCTCATGAATCAAACCTGTCCTTAATTTTTGTAGTATGACAAATAAAGAACATTAGAATATATCTCATAAATGAGCTCTGAGAACATTAGAATAAACAACATAATTCATATTTTCAATAATAGCAAGCTATTGAATTCTTAAGGCTATGTTTGAATTGATGGAATGGAGCGGAATGGAGCAGAATGTTATGTCATAAACTTATGTTCCATTGTTTGGATTAGTTAAAAAAAAAGATAGAATGGAGTGAAACATGATGGAATGCATTCCATCCCATTCCATCACTTTCTTTTATTTTTTGTACCCTCCGATTTGGGCGGAATGAGAAAATTGGTCTATTCCATCTTGAAATACCCAAACAATAGAAAGACATTTTTATTCCGCTCCACTCCATTCCATTGCGCTCCACTTCACTCCGTTAATTTTGCAATATCCAAACATAGTCTAAGGGATTTTTGGATTTGGTATATACTTAACAAGTACTCTAATAAACGGAAAGAAGCAACTACGAGCAAATCAGAGATACAGACACTAAGACAAAGTTGTAGTTTAGGCCAGTAAGGGGGTGTGAAACTATATTTCAAACAATTAATTGGATAAATTCCTTTAAAAAAGCTCATGAGTTGCATAAATTGCAAAGCAGCTTCTTCATCTCAACTTTCATCCACAACTCGGCCCTTTAGCTTCTCTACTAACATATCTAACATCATAAAAACACTTTTTGTAGCAACTTATTTTAATTAAGAAACCCCGTGACTTAATCTAAAATTGGCCAAAATCCAAAATCAACGCTGCTTCAATCTCGGAAAGACAAAAAGTAAATAGAATAGGAAATGAAGAAGGGGGGCATAGCAATGATACCAGGCAAGTATGCTTTCTTGATGGATGAATATCGATAGAGTGCACTATGCCAGAAGTCAATTTTGTATCCCTGCAACAAAACCAACAACACAGTAAGTAGAAACACTAATATCTTCAATTGTTAATCAAGCATATGGCATTTGTCATATAATTGCTTATAACATAAGTTAGGGCCTATTTGGATAAACAGCTTATAGCACAAATGTTAATCAAAATAAGCTTGCATAAGCTACTTTTATAATAAAAGAAAAATATATATTTAAGTTGTTTTTTATATATTCTAAGTTATTTTTTGCAAGTGTTTTTGGAGAACTTATCAAAAGAAACTAAAAAAAGTTAAAGAAATATGATTAAGACTACCAACCAATGTCACAAAACTTATATAAGCTTCAATAAGCCAATCCAAAGAGGCCCTTAGTGTCATGTAAGTGCTTATGTATAAGCTATTTCTATAACAAACTAAAAAATTAAATCAAATTGTTTTCATATAATCTATAAGTTGGTTTCATAAGTTATCCTAAAGAAACAAAATGAAAAGGATTAACTCAAATAATTCAATTCAAGTCTCAACATAAGTCAAGGTTGAACATTTTTCTTACCAATTACCCTTAAACTGAGAAACCGGGTCACCCGGCTTCCTCTGATCCCACCATTGAAGCCCAAATCCATATCCCCCAGTAGCAAACTCCACCGGCGAAGCCCATTTCACCGCCGTATACGAGACCAACCCATCACTATCAAACAACCTCCTATAATTCAAATTAGAATCTCCCACCGTAACCAAATTAACCTTCCCATCATCCCCAACGGTAACACACTCAACGCCACCATCGATCAAATCAATACAAGACTTCCCCACCGAATGAAGCTCGTTCTCCGGTACAGAAACCTCAGATTCAAGCATCCCGTCGCTGGAATCGGCGAACAAGAAGTGAAGCGAGCCGGAGGAAGTTGAAGCGGCGATGACTGATTTCTGAAGGAACTGCGAGGCTTTGAGAGAGGAGATTGGGGAAGGAGAGGCCCATGAAGAATGTAAATCGAAGGAAATAGGGTTTGGTTTGAAAGAGTGGATTTCGATGGAAGAGACGTCGGAATCGGAGTCGGAGGAAGCGAGAACGGCGAAGCGGTTGAATGCGGAGAGAACCGGAAGCCAACGGACGGCGTGGATGTATTTGTATTGAGGGAATCTGTGGATTTGAGAGGTTTCTGAAATTGCTGTGACCGCCATGGCAAGGGTTTATGGCTGAAAATATAAACCTGCAATGAGCGCAAAGGAGAAGGAGAATAGTCACTAATTGGAGCATATATTTTTTTGGCTAAAATACCCCTCAGTATTTCATTTTTTTACCCGTGTTTTTTTTGTTAACAAATCTTCAATGAGAAAGAGAGTACTTTGTTAGATAGTGGCATACATTTTGAATCATAAATGAAGATTGTCTTCATAATTACTATTCTAGAAATTAAACATAAAATTATTTCAAACTTGTGATACGCCACAATCGTACGGTAATATTTAAGTAGTAAAAATTATCGTCCGTAGAGATCAAAAATCAAATTATCAAGTTATGTTGTTTATCTGTTTAGCTAAAACAAACAATTCTTTGGGTTTGAATAAGAGAAAAATATAATTTTGAACTTCTTAATAATTTAAAGCAAGAGTCAGAGAACTTGATTTCTATTAACCAACTTTACTCACGCAAGTTCTATAACTATCATAACGAGAACTTTTACTTTGTGGAAAATTCTAAAAACTAGTGGTGATGTCCACTTTCGTTCGCATATTATCGAGTTCTAAGAGTGCAATGTAAGCGGAAAAAATTATTGATCAATTATATTAAATTAGAATATTAACACTTACTTATTGAAGACATGATTTTGAGAATAAGGGTTGTCATTCTTGTCACCTTGATTCTGAATCCTAAAAAGATGAGTGATTAGATCTTCCTCTGTATCTCACACTCCCGTTCACAACTCTTAATGAGAAAGTTGTGGAGTCGTCAATTATGTTTCTGATTTCGTGATTACATAAGGGACCTAGACACATAATATATAACCCTAGTCTCTGCCCATTATGGGCCAAGAGTTAAGGCTCATACTTGTGTCCATATCAACCAGGTTTCAGATACTCAGACTTTAATTAAAAAGATCACTTAATAATCTGTTGTCGCACACAGGTAAAAAACAAGTAAATAAAAATTGTAGTATAGAAAGGCGACACTCGAGAGTCGTATTGCATGGACTCTTGGATGATTTATACCAACTGAAAGAAGCAACGGGGGGTTAGGTTTTGATTAAGATCATGATTAATGGAATTTGATTACCAATAATATTGACAAATTAATCCACTATTTAGTCTCCAACTTATCATCGATTAATATAATTCCAAAGCCCTAACGGTTTTAATTTCCGTTGCGGTGGTAAAGCGGAAAGAAAAAAGTAAGTTATTAATTTACCGGGTGATATTTAGGTTATATTGTATCGTGTCCATAGAGATTAGTTATTGATTCTCCGTTCGACAAATCTCTCGTTAATGAGTTTGGGGTTAAATGGGTTGAAAAGAAAAGTATCAACAGAAAATAAATGTAAACAAAAGAAAAAACTAAGGTAGAACTTATCAAGCCTGCATATAATCTACTCATCACAGGCTTAAATCTACCGACCAATTACATCCAACTTAACAATACTCATCAATGTCACTACGTATTACTCACAACTTAAGTTATTTCTAGCCCAAATTGAGAGACCGACTGTATCACCAAGGAAATAATATCTCTACCTCCTGAATAACACAGAAGACAACTATGTAATTACACTGACGATCTCTCAGCACAACACAATCACACAAAGGCATTAAGCTCTGATACCTAAGTAGATGTCAGCTCTAAATTTATCTCTAGAGTTCAGAAACTAACATATAATCATCCTATATAAGAATCTAAGCAGTATATGTCTATAATAACTTAAATCCCTAGCACAAAGCAAAAATCCAAGATAACAATTCACACAGATTTGTAAAGCAAGGTTAATATAATGCCATGGGCGACAAATATATATAAGTTCAAAGTAAATATACATACAATACCTAACAAAAGAGAAATACATAGAGAAATAAAGAGATAAACCATAAATCTTCCAGTTTGTCAGCTCCGATCAATGAGAAATTCACCTCCAAATCATCCATAAGTAAAGCCCTAGTGTTGTTATCTAAGCTAATCCACTATAAAAATGAGGTTGATGGAGTTAGGAGAACAAAAATCACCCCCAAACATCCCCCACAAAATGAAATGAAAGGAAAGATATAACAAAATTATGATCCACAACCGTCGCCCGACGACACAAACACGTCGCCTGGTGACGGCTTCTATACACTTGGCCCAGACTGCACCACATCCTCAACTGAAACAAATATCTAACATCTCACGGTGATGTAAGTATGAAGTGCGCCTAAGAGAGGGGGTGAATTAGGTACTTTAAAATTTTTCTGGTTTTAGTGATGATGGATATTATTTTTCTGGTTTATGGTGAGTTTATGAAAGAGTAAAGTGCAGAAAAATAAAGAGACACAAGCGATATATCATGGTTCCCCTTACAGTCTGAGAGTACTCCAGTCCCCTTTTAACATGAAAGAGATTTCCTTATTGTTAGATCTCTAGACAAGACACCCTAGTACTTTTATACAAGACTCTAACCAGTAAAACCACCAAGAACAATCCTCTTGGATTTTCACTATGTCGACAATGAGAACAATCCTCTCAAGGCGACCTTACTTGTTTCCAACAATCCTGGAAAACAAAAACCACTAATCTTATTTCCAACAATCCTGAAAAATAAGAAAGTATGCATCAATATTTTGATTGAGTGAGTTTGTAGAGCAATAATCACTTTGAGTAATTTTATCAATAACTTGATCTTCTCTTCCAATAACAATGATACACAATGACTCAAGACTTAGATTGCTCAAAGTTTTCTGTTATACAAGATGTGAAAATATGCAGAAAACTTTTTGAATGAAAGTGAAAAAGACTTGAGTTGAATATTTGAAAATTCAGAAAAATATTGATTAGAATATCAGTATTTATGTGTTCATAGCACCTCTTTGAAACAACATAAGTTTATGTAAATTAATCATGAACAATTGCCAAGATTAAGTGAAAAGATTCCATGAAATGGTGTTATGAAAAGGTATGTTCAAAGCTGCTGATTTTCAAAAATGTTCAGCGAGCAATCGATTACATCCTTGATGCAAATCAATTGCACAGGTTCTAACAACTAGAAATTTCAAATATTTTCAGTGAACAATCGATTGCAGAAACATGCAAATCAATTGCACTTTAAAACAGTAACACTTTTAACCAGAGAGCAATCAATTGCACTCTTATGCAAATCGATTGCACTAAGAAACAGAAGCAAAACAACTGAAAATGTAAGTCATGAAATTGATTGAATCAATATGTAAATCGATTGCACATATGTAAAAATGGTTTTTTTGCTTAGAAAACTTGAGAAAAAGTTTGGACAAGTTTAAAAACTTCTTTTGATCATTGAGCATCTAAGACTTAAGTTCATAGCAAGAATTGTTATTATACCTTATGAAATTTGCCAAGAGCTTGAACCAAAGACTTTTATTCATTGATGCTTTAGCTTGATCAACATCTTTGCCTTCTTGCCATTATGGTTTGTCTTTATCAAAATAAAGTTCATTGAGAGGCTTGATATTACATTCTCCCCCTTTTTGATGATGACAAACAATCTTTCTTGAAGCTTTCACTACTACAAAAAAAGGAAAAGACAGCGCTTTTTTTGGCCTTTAACAGCGCTTTAAAGCGCTTCCTAAAGCAGCGCTGCTAAAAGAAAAGACAACGCTTTTTTTCAACGTAAAAGCGCTGCCTTATGTCCACTTTAGACAGCGCTTGGTAATTTTTTCCCGGTAGGCTTTAGACAGCGCTTTCCTTTGAAAGCGTTGTCTATTCCCCCATTTTAGACAGCGCTTTCAGACTTTAGGCAGCGCTTTTTTTAAGTTTTTACAGCGCTTTTTTGCTAAAGCATTGTTTATTGTTTACAATTTTTTTTAATAAATTATCTATTTTAATCAGAATTTTTATCATATTTGATAGTTTCATTCCAATATTTTGATCCAGGTTTTCAGAATTATCTTTTATGCTCCATATTTGGTAGCTTCATTCCAATAAAGACAACAACAACAACAACATTTATACATCTTTTTACAAGTTATGATACAAGTTAAAATTCTACAAGATATAGACAAAAACAGTTACAAAATTTATGATACAAAATTTATAGACAACAATAAGTATTGAATTTACATCTATACATCTTTCTATCTTCGAGAATTCTCATGAAACAACAACAACATGAATATCTTAGCTCTATCTTCTACATATATGTACCTATATACCTGGGGAAAAAATCAAATGATCGAAATTCATAACATGATAACATTAACGTTGCACTTTATTCGAATTTAAGACAATATACCTTAGCTTATAAAATTCTCAATCCGATAATGAATTGACACCATTCCTCCATAAGTTCATCCAATTGATCTTTTGAGTAATGTGCACAATTGAATTCCTCAAAGTACTACATATATAATAATATAACATAGTATGTGATTTAGTTAAAACAATATGTCATTTTATGAGAAGCACAAATTATAAAAATAGTATGTAATTCATAAGTTAGAAATCTATACCGTGGATGGAATCTATAATCGATCCAAAAGAATGGTTTCTTTCATAAACCTCAACATAAAATAGCCACAATCTATACCATTACGCTGGCGAGGACACTACACATGGAAAGAAAATATGAATATATATCAGGATATACCCCTTAAATTGTTTTATCAAGTATCATCACTAAAGTAAGCAAAACTAAATATCTCTTTGTGAAAATATACCTCCACTCTGATCCATGTAATGCTGTTCGCTTTACTTTTTGGTATTTGAATATCTCGTTGGGAGCGAAAAGAAAGTAGAACGCTATAGAATCATAAACATAAACACAAATCCAGATATGTTGACCATAAACATAAACATAAACATAAACATAAACTTGAATATCTCTTTGGGAGCGAAACACTTACGTGTCAATCATCTGTTTCAAATCTGGATATGTTGACCAATCATTGTATAACGAGTCCAGATAATACACAGTTTCTCTCATAGGATTAATCGCAACCAATAGCCAATGTCCACTGTAAGATTA